TGATGAACTGCATGTTGCCTTGGGAACCTTGGAAGGTAAAATGGTGCTTTGTAAATTGTGTAAATAAATATTTGCTGGACAAGTCATTGTGGAGAGCAAATTCAGCTCTACTGTGGTACTGTTAGACTGCTGATAGAGCTGTTTTGACCCAGTTGGGGTTGGCAGTGGTCAGATGTATGGCTGTGGGAACCTGTCAGGATCTGCACAGCACTCAATTCCTATTAAGACAGACTTGAGAATAATGGCTTTCATGCCATGAGGGTGCCCCTTTACAAATGTTGAGCATGCTCCTAGTTTGGGCCAATGAAAGCTCCCTATTTTAGGGGTGATTTGCTTTGTTCACCCTGTCCTGCTTGGTTGAGGCTTCTTTAATTGGATCTCCTTACAGCAAGCAACAATTTAATGGACCCTGGTATAATCAGGACCATCAGCAAAGCTTACAACCTGTAGCCCAGTCCACCCTCTGTGTCATAGTAACATCCTAGTTCTTTTGTCATATGGAGTTACCTTGGAAACGCACAGAAAGTAAAGCAGCCCTTGGCAAGTTTTCCTGAAAAATCATATCACCCCCTGAAGCAACATTCACTTGAATACAGAAGCCCACAATGCAATAAATAAGTCCTTGATGCCCCACGAGCTTTTTGTCTTCTTTAGTGAAAGAAGGAAAGAGAGAAAGAAAGGAGGAGGAAGACAGCTACTCCCTTGGAATCTTTGGCTTAGGGCTTCATCATGCATGTCAGCCATTTATATTTTCCCTGCCATTACTCATGCAGAGAAACACCAGTGTAAATCACTAACAGAAGCACACATAGAGGGCATCTGCAGTCATGTCTGTGCTTGCAGTGGACAAATGTTGCTGTGGACTCAGGAATGAAAGTAGGTTTTTCTCAACACTGAGACTTTCCCTTGTGGTCCTGCACATGTGCTGCAGGGAAAAAGTAGCTGGTATGCATGGATGAACTGACCCTTAGTTATTCAGCATTTCTACAATGAAAATAAGAAGAAATGCTTGAGGACTGTGCCACTCCAAATTATTTTTTCCTTTTTCTCCTCCACAATGTGTTGTCATTGTTTTCGCTTTAGCCTATACTATCTGCAGGGACTACTGATTTTATACCATTTCATGTAAACAAAAAAAAAACCAACTAAACAGGACAAAGCACAACAAGATTGGCTCAAGACCAATATGTATCTCTGCACATTACCAAACAGGTTGTGAAAGCAAAGTTGTTAAAAACTGGAAAAGACTGGAAAGACAGTCATGCATGAGATACTTCACTCAACTGGTCAGGAGACAGGGATTTGTTCTCATTGCTGTGGAATAATGAATGGATAAAGGGGTATGCCAAGTGCAAGTCAGGCATTTATTTCAGCCCAGCAAAGTTCAAAGAGGTGAAAAAATTAATGGTATGAACTATGAAAACTAGTCTGGGAAAAGTGAAGTAATTTTTACAAATAATATGGCTCCTGGAATAAGCAAATGTGACATTGCTTATTTAATAACAATTGATTTATTTATTTTAAGGCATTTCTAACCCGTCCTTTGCCCAAGCCTCAGGACGGCTTACAAAAAATCAATGAATATATAAAACACAATTAAGGTATCCAATAAAAGCAATGTTACAAACAACAATAAAAATTCAAAATAAAATAACAAGTGATGGAAAAACGATACCCCCTGAATCTGTTATTGTGGCAGCAATACATCATATCAAAGAGAGATAAAGAGAATTTGCCTAATCAGTTTGCCCACATTGTTTGAAAATGTCCCCAGCTCCTTGTACAGTTGGAAGTATCCATAGGCAACCATTACATAAGAGCATAGGAAGAACTGTGCAAGATTGTAGCAGGTGTACATCTAGTCCAGCATTCTGTCCACAAAGTGGCTGACCAACTGCCCACAGGAAACTCACAAGAAGGACAAGAGTAAAACAGAACCTTCCCACCCAAGTTCCCCAGCAACTGACAGGCAGGCTGTCTCTGATAATAGAGAAAGCATATAGATCCCAGAAGTAGTAACCATGAATTTGTCCTGTCCTTTTAAAGTTGTCCAAATTGGTGGCCATCACTACATCCTATAATAGTAAATTCCATAGTTTAACTGTGCATTGTGTGAAGGAGTACTTCCTTTCATCTGCCCTGAATCACTCCCCAGTCACTTCATGGGATGACCCCATGTCCTAGAAGTACAAGAGAGGAAAAAAAAAAGTCTCCCTATCCACTTCTGCATTGTGCATAATGTATAATGCATTTTTCTATGCCAAACAATCCCAGCTGTTGTAACCTTTCCTTATCGGGGAGTTGCTCAGCCCCTTGATCATTTTAGTTATCCCTTTCTGCACTTTTTCTAATCCTGTAATATCCTTGTTTAGGTCCAGTGACCAGCACTGTATAAAGTATTCCAAGTGTGGTTGCACCACACATTTGTATATGCAAGTATGAGAGTGGCAGTTTTATTTGCACATACTGAAAATAACATGGAGTTTGACTTTTTCACAGCAGCCACATACCAGGCAAACATTTGCATCAAACTGTTCACCACTACCCCAAGACTGCTTTCCCAGTCAGTCATTGCTAGATCAGATATAATCAGCTGATACCTGAAGCTGAGTTTTTTTTGTCTCAATGTATATCACTTTACACTTGCTTACACTGAACCTTATTTGCCATTTGGATGATATTCTCCCAGTATGGAGAGATTCTTTTGGAGTTTTTCATAATCTCTTTTTGTTTTAACCACCCTAAATAATGTGGTGTCATCAGAAAATTGACCACGTCACTGCTCAATCCTAATTCTGATTCTGCAAAAAATCAGACTGGTGTTGGCACTGTACTTTTTCAGGTACCAGCTGAAGATCTTTTTGTTTCACACTAATTTCGAAGGGTGAATCTGCAGGGCCCAATTTTAAATTTAGTTACCGCTACCATTTCAACTGTAACTTTGGGGGGGGGGGGTCAAATTTTGGTTGTGAATTATGTTATATTATTGGATCATTGCTTTATATCCCCCCTCAGTTTATTAATTTATCATTTAGTTACTTATTTTCTATATTTGTTTTATCAGGTGTTTTTATTACTATTAATTTTATTGTACTGTTGAATGTTAGTCCGTTTGATTGTATACAGGCTGTCCAGAGAGCCTATGGCTAATCAGGCAGCATATAAATCAAATAAATAAATAAATCCAGATCATGTATGAATTGAAAACATTAGTCCCACTACAGACCCCTGAATGACTACATTGTTTACACTTATCCACTGGGAGAACTAAGTGTTTGTTCCTACTCTTAATTTTTTGTTCTTTAACCAGTTACTGATTCATAAGAGGACCTCTCTCTTACTCTGTTGCTGATGAGTTTGCTCTCTAGTTAAGGATTTTCTTGAAATAATGTTGGAAGTCCAAGTAAACAATGCCTGCTGGATCAGACCTGTCCATATGTTTACTGATACTCTCAAAGAACTCTAAAAGGTTTGTGAGACAGGACTTACCTTTGAGGAAGCAAAGTTCAGGACTGGTACAGAAGTGTGCTTTTGAACAGAATGTGTATTTAGAAATATACAAAATGTGCAGGCCACCTGGGTTGCTTTGAGATGACATTACTGTTGACCTGTCTTATTCACAAAATTTTACAGGGGGTCTAGATCTAGATGATATTATCTGCTGCTTGTAGTCCCATGTTTTCCTACCTCTTCTTCTGTCTTTTTTTCCATCTTAATTGTGGAAGGAAAGACAGAACAGCAGCACAAGCTCTTTGGATAGGTAATGCTCAGAGCCATGTGTCTAGAAGCACCCCTGGACGGGGCTTTTTTTAAACAAACAAGCAAACAAACCATCTCCCCAAAGTGCAACACTACTTCATCCTAGCCAGATAAACAGTGCTGCCCTAATGTATATGAACAGCAATGAAGTACTGAATTTTTTCCTATTAATTTGTGTATAAATATCCTGCACTTTAAAAAAAACAGGATGTGAAAGAGAAGTGTTTCAGTTAGATGCTAGCATTCTATATGTAGTGATATATCATTTTTGAGAAAGTGTTGGGTAGTGGTTTTTCAGGTCAGGATTTTGAAGCAGAAATCCAGAATCCCTGCAACAGAATGAAAAATGGCTTCACAAACACACCTGATTTAGACATAAATTAACACGTTTTCACAAAAGTTGATAGGTAGGGATGCATAAGCCCATCTACTCTAAATTTATAAATGGACATCACCTCCTGTACCTACTTGCCTGGCCCCATAAGCCCTCTTCAGAAGCCCTTTTTCAGGTGCCCCCAATGAAAGAAGCTAGCCAGGTGGCTACAAGAGGGATCCTTCTCAGCTATGGAGGCCTGCTCATGCAATGACCTCCCCAAAGAGGTCACCTAGCACCTGCATCATCATCATCTTTCTTGGTGCCAGTCAAAGCACTCTTCACCCTGGCATTTTAAAGATCTGGCTCTAGATCTTTCTGGCTCTTTTATCCCGGTGCTGCTGTTTGTTACTTTTGTATTGTAACTGTACTCTTTCAAATATTTGTAATTTACCTCATATCCTAACTGTTTGTGTGGCAACCTTAAGTCGTGTCACTGTAATTCCCTCAGGGAGCACTGGTTATGGGGCAGACTAAAACTGTGACATACAGATAAATATATAACCTAACTATACATAAATATGTAACCTGACTGCACTACTGAGAGAGTTGTGGGGACATGGAGAAAGTGCCATGCCTTCAGCAATGGGCAGGACTGAAATCTCACCCCTCCCCGGCACACGGGCGCGCACACGAACGAAGTTTTCGGTCAACCGCTGACTTCGAGGCAGTGGCGCGCGGGGGGGGGGGCTTTTTTCGAAAGTCGGGCGCGCAGAAGCCACTGCCCGGGAGTGAACTGGCCTCTCTGGCAAGAAGAGGCGGTGGGGAGAGGCAGGGCTGCTTGGAGGCCGCCCCTGCCCGAGGTCCAATGGGAGCAGCGGCGCTCGCCTTCCTCGTTTCCTCCTGAGGCGGGAGGAGGCGAAGTCGCCGGTCGCCCGTGTGGGTGCGGAGCAGCCAGCCCGGCGCGGCAGGCATCCATCCCCACGCGGGCGGACGCGCCCCGAAGAAGGCCAGACCGGGGAGCGGGCCTTGGCGGGTTTGAGAGCTCTCCGGCGGGAGAAGCGCGGATTGGCTGCGAGGCGGGGACTACCGGGAGGTCGCCGGTGCCATGGGTTGTGGGAGCCAGCCGCTGGCGGCGATTCCCGCCCTCCTGCTGCTCTCCGCTTTGCTGCTCAGGAGCTCCGCGGAGAAGCTCGGTGAGTCTGAGCCGCCCTGGCCTGCCAGGCGACTCGAGTTGGGAAAGTTGGTTTGAGAGTTGGGGATGGGACGGCGAATGCGTGGCGCGAGTGCTTCTCCCCCACAGTCCACCTTCCCGCACAAACGTGCAACTCTCGCACGAACAGACTCGCGCACAAATTCTCTCTCACTCACCCCGCACACTTTCCTCTCCTCCCTCGCCCGCATCTCTGCCTGTGTAGTGAGCGCGCAAGAAATGCACTTACACGGGAAAGCCTCTGGTTAGCTCTGTGTAAGGTGCCAGATGTTCCTTGTCCTCCAGGGAAGATCCCATATTCCAGAGCCTGAAAGATTTGTAATGCTTTTGAAGTCTCTAGCTTCAGCATCACTTTAAATTTAATATTTTTTTAAATTTACGAGTGCCTATTTAAAAGGGTTCGTGGAGGGTGGTAGGATAAAAAAGGCCTTCCTTTGCTGTGAATGCTTTTGTGGCTGAAGTTACCTATTTTCCTACATGGTTGGACATATGGGGCCAAAGATTAGACTTTTTAGGAACCAGCTACCATGAAGTGCAAAATTTTGTGCTGATTTTATATAACGTGCCTCTTAAACCCTAAGTTTCCACATTCATTGCAACAGATCTTTGAAAAGAGGTCTCTTCCATTCCACCTCACCCCACAACTCCCCAGAAAACTGAGGCTGATGGACAGATTCCTGTTTTCCCCCTCGTTCTCGAGCTCTCAGCAGCAACAGCCACAGCCATGTAAGAAGATCTGACCTATAAAGAACATTATATCTCTCCTATTTAGTGCATTGGAGCTGTTGTATGCATGGAGCGGTACACGTGGAGCCTGCCCCTTCTTTAAAGTGAATTAAGAAGCCTGCTCATATGGTAGACCAGATTGAGAAAGCTGTGTGTATGTGGAGCTCTGGTTTGAGAGAGGGAGTTAAAAGCGGTATTGAAGGGACTTAATCCATGGATTCCTACCGCTACTCCAACACTCCATCTTTCCATCTTGAGTAAGGAGGTCTGAAGGGAAACGCTTCAGCTTCTGATCTTCCCATTCATTGTGGGGATGTACGGAGGGCGGGGAGCAGGATGCTCAGGATCCACAAAACTCCACAGACACAGTTTATGAATAAAGGCTAATCCCAGGATATGAACCTAGATATTCTGGAGCTTTCTCCAGCCTTATTGTCATACTTATTAGTACTGAACTGAAACATTTTGTGCTTGTTGTATCAGACAGATTTTCTATATTTGACTCTGGCTAAACCAAGTACTTATTATCAATTGTCCTTGTATCTTGCAGTAGCTGAGTTTCAGTTCATAAAAGCTATATTATATTTGGCCCTTAAATAGCACATGTATAATCTAATATTTGTTATTTCTGAAACTTGTTAATTTGGTTTTCAAGTTGTGCGTTTCAGTTTTGCTTTGCAGAATTACAGCTAAAAAGTAGTATTTCATTTGACTACACAGAACTCTATGGAATGTGACTCAGATGAGCAATAAATCATGCAGTGAGGGGTCAGATTGTCCTTGTTTTCTATCTTTAGAAACTTTTTTGCAGTTTCAAAACTAGTTTTCCTATAGTTACAACAGGAATGCTAGTTTTGAAATTAGACTTCAAATTAGACTGAAATATTTACTCAGAGTGTAACTCCCATTGTGTTCAGTGGGATTTACTCCCAGGATGCACCCTTTGTTTGCTTTTCTTCTAAAGTTGATATTCCCTGTCATATTTTTCCGCTAATAATCTGTACACTCCTTAGGTAAACTTTCTCTATAACTGTGGTGTAATGTGGGAATTTCCACTACCTAAGCTGTCAGTTGTAACTCAGCTATAGACAATGGATTGATCCAGTTGCCAGATGTTAAGTGTCTCAGTTGAAAGGCAGTGTAGAAATGAAATAATTTTTTTCTAACTGCTGACTCTTGAAATGAAGGACATGTATTATAATCTGTGGGGCTGTGACATCTGGTGATCTGAGAAAAGTAAGTCTAAATATTCCATTAAAAAGGAATGTTGAAAAGAAGAAAAGGATTGTCAAATAATGTTTTCCAGACTAGTTTAAAGGTAGAACTTCTTCCTTTTCCTTCTACCACTTCAATCCCTTTTCTTTGTCTATGACAACCAGGAAGTAGAGTCCTAGCTGTATTACCATGAATTATGTTGTCTTAGTTGATTTCAGTGCTTTATATAGTTTTACCCCAGTTAATCTATGCCTGGTTTATCCATGAATCTGAGTAGTTACAAGATTAACAGTAAAGATCTTTAGAGTCAATGTGTGTGCAGGACTTTAAAAAGCCCCTTCGTTAGTTTTCTTAAAAACAGATAAAAATTATGAGGGAAGGAAAGTATAGTTGCACTGATAGCTGATATTAAGGAGTATAGTGGTGATGAATGATAGCTGAGAGGTCTCACTGAAATCTTGGGTACACCATGAAGTTAGTTGGTGGTCCAAGACAAGCTGTGCTTCCTCACTTTCCATCCTTCATTAGCATTATGGTGGATGATAATACTGGCCTTTCTAATAGGATTTCTGTAAAGATCACTGAAATAATGTGGTTCTTTGACTATTCCCAAAAGGCTATTTAAACAGCTACAAACAGTGAACAGCTACAAATCTTGTCTAATGCCTGGCTTGCTCTCAGGTAAGTCATAAAATAGCCAAGACTGGCACTGCTCTTTGATAATATTTATCCATAGTGATAATTCTTGTTTTGGTGTGACTGGCATGACAATGAATTAGGAGAGTCTCAAATATTTGCTAAACAGAACAGCAAGCAACCATTAGTACAGGTATCAAGTTAACTCTTGGTGAATAGCATAAAATTGGCTTATTTCAATTACATATGTAATATGGGTATTTCCTGTACAATTAGAAAGGTTGTAATGAGACTATTTTGTAAACTAGTATAGGAAATAATAAGCAGTGAAATAATTAACCATCTAGTTTTCAGGCAGGCATGAGGAGCCAAACCCAGCCTTCCTGAGCTCCCAGATGAAAGCCTAGTCCTTCCTACACTCCAGTAGCCAGTGAATATTTGCAATATGATCTTGAGGGCCTCAGGCATTTCTTGCTGCATGTAAGGTAAAATTCTTTGTTGCAACATCTTGAACATAACTTCACTTGCATGGAAGATTAGTGTGATGGTCCCATAGTTTCTGCACTCCTTTACAACTTGTTTCATGGAGATGGGATGTATTTTAAATATTTTCCAGTCCATGGGCCATTGTTTTGTTTTCCATATTCATTGGCATTTTCTTGTTAGGAGTTGGACCAATTCAGGTTTTACACTTTATACTGTTACCCTATCTACCCAGGTGCTTTATTGCTTCCAAGTGGTTTCAGAGCAGCTTTCACTTCACTTTCTGATGTTGCAGGTTCTTCCTCACAGGGCTCCTCTTCAAAGGAGTCTGACATCTTTTTATCTCTTCTGTAAAGTTCTTCTGGGTATTGTTTCCATCTTCCCTTTATTTTATCCTGGTCAAATAGTATGTGCCCCCTTTGGTCTCCTCGGCATTCCTAATCTAGTTTTGAATCTCCCTTTGATTTCTTGTAGAGGTCTCTTGTTTTTCCTCTTTTGTTGTTCTGCTTTTTTTTTAGGTGGGGGGAGGCCATAATTCTTTTCAAATCTATGCGATAATCACTTAAAAGGTGCATTCGGGATTCTGACCCTATTTCTGTCCCCTTTTGATTTACTTCTCATCTGTCCTTAGCAGTTGTGTTTATTCTGTCATCCACCTAGGCTCTTTTTAATACTGCCTTTAAAAAAAATGCTATGGTTGTAGATAACTGGCTTTTTAACCTATAGTTTAGCAAGATGAGAACAAGCACTGAGCCTGTAGGCTTATTCCTTGCTTCTCCTTCCTTGGCATGCTGATCCTGATTAGGTTAAACTACAATTCCCTGTTTTATGTCTGAAATAGAAACTGCAGTTAAGGCTGTAGTCCTTCCATAATTATGTGGGAGTAAATCCCATTGGACTTAGTGGGGCTTATTTCAGTGTAGCCATCTACATGATTACACTGCTAATGTCAATTTAGTAACCAAGGTCTTAATTCAAGATTTATATGTAGGTTAAGATCGTGGTTAGTAAACTGTTAGTTAAACTGATGTTAGTGAATTGATTGTACAATTCTCCAGTGCAGATATAATGGGGAACTACAATCCATGAAGATAAATGTTATATTATTTCCCATTCAAGTCCCATTAATATAAATGGGAGCCACCCAGCCATTTTTTGTGCAATATCTGTTAATTTTAGTTGATTTGAGATTAAGAATATTTAGCAAATTGTTTCCCTATTCTATTTTATTGATGCCTGTTGTATATCTTTTTATTTTCGCATGTGTACTATGTCTTGTGTTCTATCATTCTGTACCATTGAAGTTCCTGTAACTGGGATTGCACAATAACCCTCTGTGGTTTATAAGCCATGACAGGTTAATATGTCTTCCAAACCCAGCCTTCTTCTGAATGGCGGCTTATAAATCACCCCAGTTGCCCATGGGTTGTTCTAGAAGTTAATTAAGCAGCAGTGATTTATTCTATCATCTGAACACAAAGAACAAAATAAGCCATGGTGGTTGTTGTTCAGTTGCAAAGTTGTGTCCGACTTTTTGCAACCCTGTGGTCAACATTCGTCCAGGTTCTCCTGTCCTACACTATCCCCCAGAGTCCACCCAACCCCACACCCACCTCTTCAGTGACCCCATCCAGCCACTTCAACCTCTGCTGTCCCCTTCTCCTTTTCCCTTCAATCATTCCCAGCCCAAAAAAAACAAGAAACCTCATTGAGAAGAGTTGACAAGCAACCCATTACTGCTATTTCCAAGGGGCTATTAGGCAACCATGTTTCCTTGTCAACAGTCATGACAGCAGAATCTTCAGGTTTTTGGGGAGTGTTTATGTGGCCCTGGGAGGTCCTCACTTTTCCAAGTTTGGATAACCTAGGGAAACAGTGGTACTGCCCACCCACCCCACCCCTAGGGCAAAGACATGCAAAAAA